CTCCTAATATGGGTATGAAAATTTCAAACAAATATATTTTTAATATAATTAATTAATATTTTTTTTAGTTAAACGATTTATATATCTCTGTAGTACTAGTCATTTAGGGGTGGTGCATTGTAATAAGACTTTAGTGCTAATTGTAGTATATTGAATGAGATTAAAAACTTAAAGTTTGTTATTAAAAAGTCTTTATATATTAATTATATTTATTTATTACACTAAATTTCAAGCAAGATTTTTTGTACCAGTTATGCAAAACCGTTATTTCTCATAAATCAAATATAAGTATTATAAGCAAACCAAATCATTATCTGAAGCCTTTTACTAATATATATCTCTTATAGAAGTTATATCTTACAAACATAGTAAAAAAAGAGATATAAGAGCTCTATAAGGATAATTTTGCTTAATGATTGAATATCTAAAGTGTTGCGCCATTGGAGATTGTATTTGTACCTTTAATCACTGGATTAGTATTTGTTTCTGTGTTTTAAGTTGTGCAGTTTTTAATTGGTGCGTCAGACAATTGGTAAAGTGGTAAGAGAAATAATATTAATGATCATATTTAAACGACTCATTTCTCATTGTCTAATAATAGGAAGTAATATGAACTCAGTGGAATATTTAGTTAACTACAGCAGCAAAAACTGAGAGTATAATACCAGTCACTGCCTGATAGCTGTCTTGCAAAGACATTCATATTAAAACAGTTTAGAAATTACTGTATTATCTTAAAATAACATTACGAGACATTATTTCTGGCGTCTTAATTTAAAAGCGTCAATAATTAACTTTATCGATGATTTTTTTAAACTTTTATATTAAATAAATATTAAGTTTAAAAAAATTCCTCGGCTAAATTAATTATTAGCTCTATTTAAATTAAGCACTCGAAATAATGCCCGGGGCGTTATTTTGAGATAATATGGAAAATATGGGTTTGATAGTTCTCTAGGTTTGAAAGGCGTCACAGTTGATATTATGAATGCTGAAAAGATTGGAATTGTTGGTCGAACTGGTAAATTTTATACTCAGTGTAAGAATTATTAAGATTCGAATGATAAATAATAGAATATAGAAAACCAATGTTTGTTCGTTATATTTATTGTCGGAGATGATGCTGAAATTTTAACTTACTTTATTATGAAATTTTAAATTTTTTTTGAGGTGTTTGGTTCAGCTTTTTTTTTATAGTTAGGTTAGAACTTTGGGTTAGTGTTTATAATAAAAGAGTATAGATGGATTTTAGTAGGGTTTATATTTTCAAATTGAGGCCTCAGATTTCAGCATCATCCCTGACATTTATTAAAGAAACTTCTGGAAGTATTGTAATTGACGATATTAATATCAAGGCTATTGGATTAAGTGATCTTAGAAGTAATATTTCATATCATGCTTTAGGATCCTGTACTATTTAACATTACTGTTATATCATACTAAAGCTAATACATAGACAACAAGTATGATATGTAATAAATCAATATAATTTTCAATACGTCTAGCAACTAACAATCTAAATTTGAAATTTAATTAGAGTATATTTGGTCCAACTTCTATTCGCAGCTGTGTCTCAGCGATATTAAGTATGTCATTTAGTATTATAAATAAGCATTTTAAATACAAATGTATCTGCAATTAATTATTTAAATTAAAAGATCCCGGCAAACACGTACTATAATTTTTGGTGATTGGAATGACGGCTCTTAGTGATCTGTAAATCTTATACTTTAATGGTCAATTTGAGGAATTCTCTATTTACTAATTAATTTTCAAAATATACAAATAGACAAATTAATTGCAGCATATTTTAATTGGTTAATTTCGGCATCTATATTAAGTGCCAAGATAGCTACTCCTTACTATATAAGTACTGTGGTGAAGTGAAAGGTCCTTATTTCGACTAGAAGTCTAAGGCTTTTTTTTTTTTGTGACATTATAGTTTTTACCCGATAAAACTATGTTACTATTATTTTTTGGTAGATTACAAATAAAATTCAATACATCATTTTTTATCTCTTTTATAGGTAAACATTTGTTGAACTATTCGAGTTGTTAGAACAATTTGAGTGGCATTCGGTATTTGAATTTTCTGATCTTAGGAATTTTGTCAAATAATATTATACCAGAATGATCTTAATTTTATGTTATAAAATAATGTAGACACTACAAGAAGCATCTAAATTGTACTGTATTTATTTACTAAAGAGATAATTCAAACGACAAAATAAATTTGGAATTAC